CCCCCCCCGCGACAGTGCGGGTCTGGTGTTGGTGTGGTGCTGAGGTCATCCTGTGGCCCCACGGGACCGTGATTTGGTAGTGTTTGAGAAGTAGTTTCCTAAATCACTAAATTATTAAGTTAGCAGCTGCTGATGATCTCTTGACGTTTATTCTTTTCTTCACCTCCCCTCCCCCCAGTTTGAGTACCAACTACGTGCATAGCAGGACGAATGTAAGGAATATCCAGTGTAGTGGGCAGACGTGCGAGCAAATAATTGTGATTGGAAGTATGGTATATCAAGGTGTACGGAGGGAAAGAATGGGTGACTTTACCAAGTCAGGTTAAGAGTTTTAAACTCTTAATAAATAAGCTTTTTCCAGTACAAAGATAGGGATGGGATGGCAAATCCAGATCCAAACATAGAAAACATGCAGCACAAGGACAAATAATGTGCATTGAGAAGACTGAGTAGTAACTCTAGGTCTTAAAGTTCAAGCCTAGGTTGCTGAAAAAGATGAGAGACTGGAAAAGAAAACAAGGGCCAGATCATGAACTGGTGAGACAATGAGTAGAGGACGAACCCTGGACAGATTTACAATTTAAGTTATTCTTCTGTTGATGGAAGAACGGATGGCCTGGGGGGAGGAGTAGGACAAGCAGAGAGCTTGTAGACAAGGTGCTGTTGCAATCAAGAGAAAGGATAAAGACCCTATGTGAGTGTGAGTGAGCATCCATAGGAGGTGGATTCTTAAAATATTCAGAAGGCCTGATCAACTGATAACTGGTTGCTGGGGCAGCTGCTGGGTAAAAGAATGGAAGTGACAGTGGTGATGCCTTGTTTTGCTTTGCAGAGGAGCAGGGTAAAGGTCTCTTACCGATTGAGATAAGGAAGGGTTGGGATAGATGGAGGAGGGGTAACTCTTGTTTGCAGAAAAAAAATGTGTTCAGTTTTTGGAGTTCAGTTTTTGGACCCGGTAGGTTTGAATTAGGAGTAATACTGTTAATGGGTCTAGAGCGCTGAAGAGGAGCTCTGCAAAAGTTAGAAACAACATTACTTACATTACTGCATTCAGGAAGATGCAGTGTCACTTCATTGAGCCCAGTTTCAAAACCACTTCTCCTTTCTTCTTACCTTTACTTGGGAAAATTACTGAAATATTGCATTAAAAATCCCCCTATGGGCTGAGTGTGTTGGCTCACACCTGTAATTCCAGCACTTTGGGAGGCCGAGGCAGGAGGATTGCTTGAGCCCAGGAGTTTGAGACCAGCCTGAGCAACATAGTGAAACCTTGTCTCTACAAAAAAAATTTAAAAATTAGCTGAGTGTGGTAGCACATGCCTGTCGTCTCAGCTACTCAGGAGGCTGAGCGGAAGATGGTCTGAGCCCAGAAGGTCAAGGCTTCTGTGGCATGATTGTGCCATGCCACACTGCTCTCCAGCCTGGGCTAGAGTGAGATTCCGACTCAAAAAAAAAAAAAAAAATGAAACTAATGTAAGTTTAGGTGAATTTTAGGGATGCTGCAGGCATTCAATAATACATTAGAAACACCCATACTGTAAACATGTTCTGGCATAATTGTCATATCAAGCTGTTAACCGTAGTATAAAGTATCTGAAGGAACAGTACATTTGAAAATCTCAAGATAGGAGTTTGACTCTGCTACTTGACAATTGTAGCAAGTCTTTAAGTCCTTAGGCAAATCTTTAAGCCCAAATCTTTAAGTCTCATTGTTGAGACTATTTCTTTGAACAATGCATATCTCACAAATTTACTGTTAAAACAAAATGTAGTACAAATGTTAAAGTATTTTGGATCTTACAGATAATTCTAGTGCTAATAAGTAAGAATAAAACATGAACTTTGAGTTTTGTTTTTGTTTTTGGTTTTTTTTTTTTAACCAATGGTGACAAATTGCTATGAACCAACTGCTTTTTTATCTGGCCCAAATATACAAAGGAGGTTTTGTTGTTGCTACTAGATGTGTAGTTAATGTACATTCATATGATATTTTTATAAATTGGTATATATGAGCATGCATATGATAATTATGTACGTTATATACCCATGAATATATTTAAGTGTTTTTATATGTGTATACCTTTCAAAAGAGAAATACTGAAGTCACCAATCTAATGGAAAAAAATTCATCTACTTTAGAGATAGACATTGGACAAAACCTCACAAAACCATATTTTTCACTATGTGTTTCTAATTAAATATGATGAAAGTGACAGAAGGGTCACAGGAATGCTCACCTTAATGCATCAGATAAACACGTAACTGCATATAAATTCTATAGGGACTGCATTATTCTATAGGGACAAGAATAATGCTTCTAATTCAAAATTCACATGACTGCAGTAGATTTATCATTCATTCTAAAACATGATTCTGACTAAAACATACCTACCTTGTATTTTCCCCAAACACATATATTAGTTATGAGTAACAGTGAACATAAAAATTGTGATTACTAAAATTTCCTTTAGTTTTTACCAACATACTATATTTGTTGATATATAAGATTTGATCATAAATAATAAAAAGAAGACTGGGTGTGGTGGCTCATCAAGCCTTTAATCCCACACTTTGGGAGGCTGAGGTGAGAGGATTGCCTGAGCCCACTGGTTCGAGAACAGCCTGAGCAACTTGGCGAGACCTCATCTCTACAATAAATCAAAAAATTAGCAGGGCATGGTGGCACATGCCTGTAGTTCCAGCTACCTGGAAGGCTGAAGCAGAAGGATTGCCTGAGCCCAGCAGGTTAGTGTTAAGGGTGGCCGTGAGCATGCTATTGCACTCCAGCCTGGGCGATGGAGTGAGACTCCAACTCAAAAAATAATAATAAAAAGAAAATTCACAAGTCAAAACAGGATTCTTTAGGTCCTTTGAGTTGCCCAGGCAGCAATTTTAGGAATGCTCATGAGTTCTACTGGATATTAGTCCTAATTAATATGTGGTTACAATTATGCCCTTTCATCCAAGTACCTCAAAGAGCTTTTATAGTATTAATTTGTTATTTTGTATAATATCTCTGAGAGATGGTAGGTAGAAAGTTATTATTATCTCTATTTTACAGTCAGAAAAACTAGGGCATAGAGAGGTTAAGTGACTTTGCTTGGGTCATATGGTGAACAAATAACAAAAAAGGATTCAAGTTAATTATTGTTTCTGGTTCAGCATATTCTCCATTATTTGATTGTTTAATACACTTAAATGTATTTCTCTTCTAGGAAAATTGAGAATAATGTATTTAAATAATCTAGTATCTAAAGGTAAGTGAGAAGATTTCTGTTTTTATTTTTGTCAGGATCTCAGTCTCTTGCCCAGGCTGGAGTGCAATGGCACCATCATGGCTCACTGCAGCCTCAACCTCCTGGGCTCAGGCAGTCCTTCTGTTTCAGCCTCCCAAGTAGCTGGGACTATAGACGTGCCACCACATTCAGCTGTTGTACCCAGGCTGATCTCGAACTCCTGAGATCAAGTAATCCTCCCACCTCAGCCCCCCAAAGTGCTGGGATTATAAACCTGAGACACCTGCCCAGCCAGATTTCTCATTTTTTGTGTGTGTTCAAAAATGGTATTATACAGGAATGTGGAGTAAAAACTAATAATTAGCCTTTGATTTGCAGCTGTAACTATTATTTATAGAGCTTTTGCTATTTGTGGCTTTCTGAAGCCTCTGCTCAAAATGAACTATTCTATTTCTGACTGCTTTATGCTAGGTTAGCATAGCTGTGAGCAACCAAGAAGCAGCTGAGACAGGCTGACTAATGAATTAGAGGTTGTCTTTCACCATGTTTCTACCACTGACTCTTCTTGAAGTCATCCTCCTAGTTTTCCATTCAGCAGATATTTGTGTAACCCACATCCTCAATCCTTGGTCTATGGCCAGCTATTGTCAATGTTTAAATCAAAATATTTTAATTAAAATATCAACATAGATAATATCTCATTTCATGAGTTTGTGATGCTGTACTAGTTACCATGTTGAATTCAGTGCTGGTAAACCTTACCTTTATGGTTCTTAAAAGACTATTAAGCATTAGCGTATTGGTCTCTGGATGGGCATGTATCACCATATGGGAATTTTATTATCATCATCGTCATCATCATCATCATTATTTTGAGTCAGGGGTTTACTCTGTTGCCCAGGCTGGAATGCAGTGGCACAATCATGGCTCACTGCAGCCTTGACCCTGCCTCAGTCTTCCAAGTAGCTGGAACTACAGGCATGTGCCACAACACCCAACTAATTTTTAAAATTTTATTTTATTGTGGAGATGAGATCTTGCTAAGTTGCCCAAGTTGGTCTCTAACTTCTGGGGTTAGGCAATCCCCTCGCTTTGGCCTCCCAAAGCTCTGGAATTACAGGCATGAGCACCCAGCCACATTAGCTTATTTTTAAAGCTTAAAACTATAATTCTTGTGTTTCTGGCTGTGTCTTTGCCAGTTTAAAGACAGACACTTTGTTCTGTTCATCTTTATGTTCTTTATGGTGTCCAACATAAGTACTCAGAAAATATTTTGGGGGTGAATAAAAAGTATATTATGATGTTTATTTGAATTAGGGAGGGAGGAACCCCACACAGTCGCCTCAGAAAC